TGGCACTGTCAGAATTGCTCTATTCCGCCATTTGATTGGTTCTGCGACAATTTTTTGCATGATTTGATTGGACACAGCCGTGTCGTTACACCTTTTCAAATTTATACCGCATGTAATATCTTGAAGTGGCTGTATTATTATTCGGGGAGGAGTACGCCATTTTTCTGAGTCGCGCAATTATTGTGGGACTGAGGGAGTACAAACTACAAGAAATTGCCGTCCAAAACGAGGCTAATGCCCTTGCCATGCGAAAATTGGAGCTCGAAGAAAAGCGCTATGAACTTGACAAAGCTGAACGTGAAGCTCGCTTTGCCTTGGAGCAGCAGGAACGACAACTTCAGTTTGAAATCATGAAAGGCACGTTGGAAACCCCGATGTGGATGACCTTGCTGGGCACAATTTACTACGGAGTCGCCGATCACATTAGTGCCATACAACCGAAACAGAAGCCAGTGGGTGGTTACCTTGACGCAGACGACGTCTTTCGCAATCGCCGCGCGTCTCTGCGGTCCGTGTTCTGGTGGAGACCTGCTTTAGGCCCCTCTGTCTGAGAACCTCTAATTGCCCTTGGACGGGCATGTAGCGATACCAGGTGTAACCGGGAACATGGAGAGGAAGGAGTTGGTAAATGCAGAATGATGAATGTGTAGGGTTATGCTATCTACCTCTGCTACATGAATATCGAAGTTAAAGCAACACATGGGTAGAGTCGCTAGCAACCAAAACGACATGTTTGGAAGGTCGTTTGGAACCTTTGAAAGGTCGACTGCAATGGCAATGAAGATCTTGACAAGCATTCGAAGAACAGTACCGTAGAACTGTTGCAAAAAGCACACTTTAACAATTGAAATCTTCCTGGATGCTGCAAGACTTTCGAGCTGACGAGGCATCCATGGTAAATGATTTATCCTTTTTTGGCCTCATTTTTCAATTTCTGGATTGACCAACAGATACTAAGTTGTTTCTGGATGTAGTCCCGTAAATGAATCAAGTCCAAACTGAGGCACCAACCAGAGTTGTGTAGTGAAGTGCACCCTCCTGATAATAAGGAATTGGCGACTGGAAGCCTCCCAAAACCCTCGCATCGCATTTTGCCTCGCATCTACGACATTTTCGGTAATTTAATACACATCGCAATTTGCGAGACCAAAAAACAGTCTCCGCAAGTTGCGAGCACGCTCGCAAAATCACCGTATGAGTTTATACAAAATCAAAGAGTAGATGATCGAGTGCACTCAA